TAACATAACATAACATAACATAACATAACATAACATAACATAACATATATAATGGGCACAGTGTGTTTCTTTTGTGCTCAGAGGTCAGCCAAGAGCAAGTCATGAACTTAGGATAAAGCTGAATTCTAGTCATTATTTCAAATCACTCTATGTAACAATGTAAAGGATCATAATTAAAACAATATTCTAAAAGAATAGCTACCAACATATATGATGTATATTGTGCCCTTTTTGTTTTTAAGTGTCCTTTTTTTCTAGGGGCTGAGGGTATGGCTCAGTTGACAAGAAAACCAGGATTCAATCCCCAGTACCCCATAATCCAGGTGTAGTGGTGCAGGCCTACAATCTCAGCACTCAAGAGGAAGAAGCAGGAGGACCAAAAAACATAAGGGCATCTCAAGGGCAGGTGGGCTACTTGAGTCCTAGTCTCAAGAAAAAAAAAAGTTCTTTGTTTATAGAATGAAAAACTGTAAACTAATAAAAACAAAACAACAAAAGCTAAGTGTCAAATACAGTCACCAAATTCTACCACCCTACTCATAACCTATTTTTCCTTTTCTCTCTTGTTGTTCTTCAAGTATTAATACTCCTCAGATTAAATTCATCCTAATGAGTTATTTCAATTAAAGTGCAAAAGACAGTTCAAGGAACACTATTTTTGCCAATGCTTTCCCTTGAGTGATGGTCATTTTGAGAATCAGTGTCAAGCAATCCACACACTGTATGGGCCTCAGCTTACCATTGCCAGTTGACGACCGATGTTTCCCATCGTTATGCCTCCAGCAAAAAATATACATGGCAACCAAGAACGGACATAGAGAAAATCTGGAGATGTGTATCTAGAATAATAGAAATAGTTCAATACCCCACAGAGCTAGGACAAGGGCACTCAAAACAAGCATAATGAAGGTAAGGGAGTCTGTATATTAAACCCGCTAAACCCACTGAGACTCTCAATTCTGAATGCTGTTATTGCTGATTTACATAGCAACTAGGCGACAAGAACAATACTTACTGATAAACACCATTGTAGACTAACAGTTGGGTGACAACGGTTGCTAAGAAAGCAATCCCAACGCCAAGGCCAAAACCACTTCTAGATCTGTCAAAAGTCCACCACAGTCCTACTGACAGTGCAGCCAGTGTGAGGGAAAACTGGAAGTTGTTGTCGAAGTCTACTTTCTGAGACCAGTGCTAAGGAGCCATCAGAAACAAAGAAGCCAGTGACATTAACAGTTCACATCTCTAAAATGAAGAGAATCTGTTCCTGCTGGAGAGTCCTCAACCTTCAACACAACACACGACGTTAGGCACCAATAAAACTATGTCTAAACACCACATACAGAGGGCATTAACAGATCCTACCTTCTTGTAACAGATATGGGAAAAAAAAATAGGCTATACACATTCCTAATTGCAAAGTCAGGTACTCTTTAGAACATGCCTTTAGAGCTAAGCATGTAACTGTGAACTTTGGCTAGTATAGCTGAAAGAACACACCTTTGGGGGGGGGAGG